CAGAAGAAATTTCATTTTTTTCAAGCAAATAAATGGGCGTAGGGGGTGATGGTATGAACGGAGTGGTTTGACGACCTTTTGCATTGAAGATGGCGTGTTTCGGTTGACAGAAAAATCCTGGCAGAACTTGTCATTTTCTGAGATTTCTCCATTGAATTATAGCTATATTATTGTTTTTAAAACAGACATCAACAAGCCATGATAAACTTCATTTTTATAAACTTGGGCACGCAACTGAATTATATTGGTTTCTTTTACGAAATTTCAGGGAAAATGTGTGGATGACTTCTGTTAAGCGTAGGAATTGAATTGCGATATAATGGTGGAAATGACTTTTGTAAAGCATTAATTATAAATTAAATTGATGCTCCTGCAATTGAACTTATTATAATAAGCATAAGCCAATACAAGTATTCACGCGTTAGATTTAAGTTTTGAGAGGTTCATTTAGTCAGAAAGATCAAGATAGTTTTCCATATAGTTTAATCACCTTAATTTTTAAAATATTTTATGTATTAACCTTTTGGGTTTTTGGATCAACTTTTGTTAGCATATTTTAAACGACCAGTGCATGTCAAACCATTAGCTGTCTTATTTCAATAGGTTAGAACTTAATTATATAATTACCAAGGTGGTCCAATAGATACAATAAACTATAATGGTGCCGAAATCTTCCGAGGCATAGTCCCTAGGTGGGATTTGTTATGTAGCAACATATGGTCTCCCTCTCAGGATAGTTGTGAACGAGTATTATTAGATCTTTCTTTTCAAAAACTATGACATCTTTTTTTAATCTTTAATTCAGGTGCCGAAGTTGAAGTTTTTGTAGACAAGCAAAGTCACCAGTCATTTTCTACCTGATGACACAAAAAACTTTGTCCAACTTGACAATTCATCCAAAAGAAGTTCAAAAAGAAAATATAGCATCCAGACAATTCTTCTCTGCGCAATCCATATTCCATTTCTTCCATTCCTCAATCTGCTAAAATCTAGAAATTCAACATAACAGAGCAGTCAATACAGGAATTGTGGGAGAAGGGAAGACCAGTAAGTTTGATGAGATTACGAAAGCCTGCAAATCAAAGCTATGATTATACGTATTGAACACACAAATTTTCCATGAGAACACGGTAATATGGGTGGGCATATCATTAATTACGTTCAAGACTAAACAAGTAGACTTTGGTGAAGTTTTTTTGAGCGGTAGAAATGACATGATTTCTAGTAGAAAATGCTGCTAACAGCAGTATGACGGTTTGATCAATATATTAGTGAATAAACAAGTAAATACACAATACATCACAAATTAATATGATGAACACCTCTCAGCACCTGAACATCACATGGATCACATCTGATAATTTGTCCATAAATATTAAATAAATCTAGAAGATAGGAGCTAAAGAATGTGACAACTATGTCATTGCGAAGCACATAAGTCAATATCAACATTCAACAACTTTAAAGATGAAGGAAATCAAAAGATAGAAGTTTAGCACAGTGCAAAAATGAAGATGTAACCTAATGGCATGGGAAAGAAGACCAAAATCAGTGGTTGCATCCCTCAATCAACAAAGTGAATAAACTTGATGACACTAGAAGAGGCTGAAAACAAAGCTAACATTACCGTAGTTGAATACAGAGTTCATGGGTGCAAACAAGTTGACTAAAATGCTTTGGATGGTAGATATGGATTTGATTTCTGGTAGAATACGCAGCTGATAGTATTATGATGGTTTTTTGATCATGATATTAATGCATTAAAGTGTGCACTAATTTCTAAGCATCTTCACAATCACACAGGCCATTTTCACACTTGTTCATAACTGGTAAGTGATTTCAAAACAGGAGCTAAAAATGTGACAAGCAGAAAAATGATAAGCACACAAGTTTTTACACCAGCTTAATTGTCCTGTTCAACGTCAACAACTTTAAAAAAATTAAAAGGTACCAGTTTAGCAACATGCGAAAGTATCATGTCTCTTTTTAGCATTCTCAATCGAGGATATTTCAACTACTTTAAATGATTTAAAAGATACCAGTTTAAAATTTTTCTAATTAAAATCCTTTTGTTTCCAGATAAGTAATCTCTAAGATAGAATAAACTGGAGTCAAGTCAATTTAATGAGTTTGATTTGGTTAAATGTAGAATTCCCAATTTTTAAGGTTATCATAGAAAATCTAGAGTTCAACCAAGATTTATTATTGAGGAAGCCCATGGACTCTGGCAAAGACACAAACAGATGGCAAAATTTGCCAGAGCTTCTCCTTCTCTTATAGTCTGGAAGGGACAACTGAGAAATGTAAACTATATTACGAAAATGAGAAGAACCAGCAAGGGGAAATTTATATATTAAGAGAGTCCATCTGAAATGAGAGCATAAAGTTTTGTCTGGATATTGAAAAGACATTTGGAAGCCCAAATATTGACTTGGAAGCCAAGATTCCACTAGATTACAACTCCAAATATAAACTAACAAAAGATTATAGTCCAAATATAAACTAACAAAAGATTATAGAGACAAATCCCAGGAAACATTTTCAATAGTTAATCTAAAACTTTTGGAGTAGATGTTTCAGTGTACGGAAGTTCTATAGCCCCTACAATTTTTAATTAATTAGTATCTAGCATTATCTATTATTTGAACTGCTACTTGGTTGCAAGATTGACATGTTCGCAGGATATACTGCAGACATCAGTAGGCAGATGTTTGCATCCAAAATGAGTTTTGAGAGCTGAGGAAGCTAAATATTAATTCCTTTTCTTCCCAAAGTTAGAAAATTGCTTTTCTCTCAAAATAAATTTGAGGTAAGTAGATCAACTCAAAATTCAGGCATAGAATGTGTCAAGATACAAGAAGCTACACCTGAACAAACAATGCAGAGAAGAAAATCTAAACTATCCTTGCCCCAGAGATGTCTATGCGCCCTGGCAATCATTTGAGAGCAAAACTTAATAAAATCCTAGTATGCTTTGCAAAAGCCAAAAGTTAATGCCACATCCTTGTGTTATATCCACTAATGCATTGTTTATGATGACATATTCTGAAACATCTTACAAAGTTGTAACGTAATAGCTTTTAGTCTTTCCAATGGAAAGGCATGGGAAAGACAGGACTGGAGGGAACGATGCCTCCACAAACAGCCAGCCACTAAAGCAGTTTGTATGTTTCAGATTTTAAGTGAGACTGAAACTCACACTAATATGATAATATTTTAATCCAAACACCATTACTCACATGTCAGAGCATGTAAATCTGAATACTGTAGGCCACACATTCAGCTGCTGAAAAGAGAAGGGAAAAAGAGCTGTTTGAACAGTTCTAAAAAGTTAATAGAGTTATGCAGCGAAGAGTGTCAATTAATATAATCCATTCAATAATATTTAACCAAATCACTTCATAACATGTAGATGCCATTTAAATGATTCAAAGATATACATCCATACCCAATCAATCTAAGCCACCAAATGCAATTATAAGTTGATAACAGCAGCATGATTACAACATTCCATATCATGCTTTGGGAAATGATGAAAATCTGGAAAACATATGCATTTTCCACAACACAGTGACCAAATACCACACCTAAATTTGTAAATCACCAGGCAGTAACATATTCATACATTTAACATCAATCTAAACATTAAACGCCTGAGGTATCAATCAAATGTATAAAAAGCCGAGAAAAGTCAATAAGCTGTACAACAGTCATGCAAGATATACAGTTACATAAATATTAAAGCAATTCAGATATCACAAAAGTGTTCATACAAGCTAAAAAAAAACTGCGTAAATCCAAGCAAAATTGGATGTTTCAGTGCCGTACAGCGTTTTCATTTCCTCGGACATGCTGCCCATTTCCAGTGTGTAGGCAAGTAGCAGTAGCTAAATACAATCCCATCAACCCCTTCAGAAAGAATTTGATCCATCATGTAGCTTGTATCTTTTGTCCAAGGCGTTTCTCCACATGCTCTGATCAATTACCCACTTGTTCCAGAAAAATGCAACAGCGTATCTTTAGATGCGATACTTATCCCAAGGAGCAACACAGTCAATCTCCTTATCTTATCTCTATTGTTTGTTCTCACACTCTCCATCTGACCATTGTTCCCACTTCGAATTAAACCTCTTTAATTCTGCTTTACCAATGCTGGGTAACTTCGAAACACCTTCAGTGTCCGAATCTTCCTCGTCGCTAGAACTCTTATTTCTCAGAAAATTAACCCCTGATCCTGTTTGACTCCGGTTATACACCGTATATTGCTGAGGTCTCCGCGAATCATTCAAATTCATTGAAAAACAGAGGCTTATCCTGCCCATTAATTCGCATTCGACTTGACTGGTCGTTTGAAACCGCAGATGACTCGACCGGTCCGTCAGCTTCGTTCACAGGTCTTCGGCGCCGGCCTTCATGAACCGGTCGGCGAGGGCTTTGATGTGGTCTTTGGGGCTCATGGGGCCGTAACTTGGTCAGAATGCGGGTAAGCACTGGGTTGCCCAGCTAGTTTGGCCGGATTTGGGATCGGATTCGGGCCTGATAGAGCTGCTTCTCTTGATCAAGGAGTCGCTTCTCTTTCTCTCTGGCTTTCTTCTCGTGGAGTCGCTTCCACTGCCACTTGTTAAGGCCACCGGGGAAGGTCCGTGGACCGCCACCCATGTAGCGGAGGAATGTGAGGGAGCAGAGAAGCCTTGGGAAGGTTAGGGAATGTTCTCTAAGGATAATGGAGGAGCTCATAGAGTCGGAAGGCAAGAGAGACGACTGATTTAGGTTCGAAGGAGTAATACCGCAAAGGGTCTTCGAGGGTTTAGGGTTTTGCTTTCGGCATATTTATTTTTTATTACGCATTTGGGTCATCAACTTTAATTTGTCCCAGCCAGGTTCACCATTTTCTTTTTTCAATCATTAAGCTGCTCCTAAGGAAGGAGAAGAGGAAGACAAAGCCCAAATGCCAAATGAGACTCCATCCAGTGACAGCATCTTAGAATGTATGAATTATGTGGATTTAAATATATTATTATTATCTTTCGATATAGATTATTACAAACCCAAACAGGGCCTGAAAAAATGAACAAATAGTTTATTTTCTTTATTTTTTTAATTAAACTATTTAAATTGACTAACTTTCGGCACGTAAACTCACACCTATGCAGCACATGCGTGTTCCCAAGCCCACAAGTCAGCCTTTTGCTTCTCTTCTTCCTCACTCTCGGTAAATCACAAAATAAGGCACAAGAGAAATTAAGGAAGAAAATTGTGATATCCCCAATTCGTCCCGAATTTATCCTGATTCTCTTTCTCGTTTCTGTATGCTTCTCGTACTCTATTTTCTAGGTGCTTTTTTTCAATTTGTATACAGAGTATGCATGTTTAAGAAAGGGCGAGCGAGTGTGAGAGTTTTTAAATAAGATAAAACTGAGTTAGAGTGTGTAATGAAATAATTTGATATACTAGAATATTGTAAAGACATTCGCTTTTGTTGTCTATTACATTATAAAGGAGGATCCTATCTCAAAAATTTTTACTATTTTATCTATATCATTTTAAGGTTACAGGCTTAGTGTTAACCCTTGAGATGAACCGGGTCAATTTAAGATGGTCAGTGGACTGAGCTAAGTAAAATTATGTTGGGTTAGCTAAGGAATAGATTGGCTTAGAACTGGGCCAAAGAAGGCTGCTGGACAATGGGCCACTTGGATCTGGGATAGTTTGGGCTTGACTTGCTGGGCCTAGAAGAATTGGACCGAATAAGGGAATGAAATTCGGGTCAACAGAGACCGGACCAGCAGAATAAGAAGACCATTGGGCCAACCCAACTACTATGGCCAAGCCCTTGACTTGTGGGCTTGGGTTCGCCCGGCAGGGCAACCCAGAAGGACTAAGCCCAGAGGTGAACTTAGGTTGGATCGAGCCGAACTAGGTTCCAAGTCATGGAATCGAGTTGGCCACACAGGAAGCTCTACACGCTTCAATGGAGGATGGCGTGGCTTCAGGCACTCTTCTAACAACGGTGAGAGTGGGAACACCACTGACGAATGCCATGGGAAGGAGGATCAAACTAATCAAGGCTCTTGAACGCTTGAGATGGAATCGACTAGAAAATTTGAAAACTCAATCTCCATGCGCGAGGAAGAATCGATATTAGATCCAGAGGAACATCTGCACAAATCCAAGCCAGATTTGAGGTTGAGATTGAACTCTATCGGATAAGGGGTGTTATCCAAACGATTAGATAGGGATTGAGCCGATTTGCTCGAGATCCTCTAAGTTTTATAAAAGAGCTAGTACTCGACGTTCAGGAGAGCAGAAAGGGTGAGAAAGAAGAGAGCTCAAGGCAGATAAGAGAGCTTGAGTGATTTCCTTTGTAATCAATGTGTGATTAGTAAAAGGTTGGGGAAATTGTGAGGGATTTTCCTGTAATTCAGGCTTGTTCTTGTTTTCTCTCCTTCATCTTTCTGGTTTGCTTTTCATGGGGCCTATTACGAGGATACACGTAGGACAAGCTGAACTCACCGCATACGTTGGAGGCCTACGCTTTGTCACTGCTTACGTTTACTTCAGAGGCAGTTCTAGGCTGACCGTTCGACCTGCTTACCCATTATCGTCTTCGACGCTTTGGACATCTGCCAAGTCCCAAACTGCTCACAGAAATGGCAGCAGCAGCAACACCCGACGGGCACAACCGTAAACCCCTCCTTTTTTTCTCCATTCTTTCTGAAATTTTATTTCTGTTTTCTTTTCCCCAGTTTTCGGAAACAGAAATATTATAAATTACCATATCTCTTTTTGGTCAGGCTGAAGTCATGGCATACGTGGAAGTCGATGCATTGTCGGGGCCTCCGTTTACTGCAGAATTACTCCTTAGGATTATAAATAGCCAAGATGGCGAAAGCTAACTGAAGTATACCACGTAAATCTACTACTTTATCAACTTCAACATCCTTCGACACCCCCTGCTCCTCATCGCAGAAATGGCAGCAACCGCCACCATGGAAACACCCAACAGGCACACCCCTAACCCTCTTCTTTCCAGCATTTTGTTTGAACTAGTTTTTTGTTCTCCATTTCTGTTTTCAGTTTTCATTTTTCGTGGAAAAAACCCAAAATTGTTGAAAGTTCTGTCATTCTCATTTTGGAGGGAAAATAGTTTATCTGAACATTACTTCTTCTAGTTTTCTTAAAGTTGACCTGATTTCTGGAAACTGTCCCTAAACTAGTTTGCAAAAGAAGAAAAAATCTTAAGAAATGGGTTTTCTATTTCAAAGAGCATGTTTTCAAAAAACAAATAGACAACGAGTCTTCCACCAAAAATCCAGAAGGGCGAAAATCTTAAAATTTTTCTGTTCTTTCCATATTGTTTTCAAAATGGGTTATTATCTAAAAGGCATTCCCACCCATCACTACTGACACGTTGTCTTTGTCCGTCTTTCTGCGAGTGATCAGAATTGCAGTTGTAACAGGGGCCAACAGGGAATTGGGCTAGAGATATGCAGGCAGCTAGCTTCCAGTGGAGTCATGGTGGTATTAACTGCTAGAGATGAGAAGAAAGGCTCTAAAGCTGCTCAAAGTTTGAGAAACACGGGTCTTTCTACCATTGCCTTCCACCAGCTAGATGTAACGGATCCTGCGAGTATGGCCTCTTTGTCAGATTACATCAAGAACCAATTTGGAAAGCTCGACATACTGGTTTGTCAATAATCCACTTCTTATAAAAAGCTACTTAATTTCTATACAGCTCTGAATTGGGTAGCTTAATTAAATGTTTAAGTCTCGGCAGGTGAATAACGCAGGGATCATTGGACTCACAATTGATGCAGAGGGTTTTGCGCGTTTAGACCTCAAGACGGTGAGGAGTAAGTCCTATTGTGTGGTGAGAAGTTCATTCTTCTTTTACTTTATATATCAAACAGCTGGCAGAAAGAGCTGAAAAAGTTTTGGGTTCTTAGATTTTGAAGACAAAGATCCTTTGCTCAAGAAGATTATGGTGGAAACTCAGGAAACAGCAGAATTGTGTCTGAAAAACAAATTACTACGGAGTCAAAATGCTGACTGAAGCTCTGATTCCGCTTCTCAGCTATCAAGTTCCCCTAAAATATGTTAATATCTCATCCAGGGCTGGGCTGATAGAGGTACACATTAAATTCATCATTGAAGTCAGTCGGCATCGCCTCGTGCTAGCAGTGTTTTCACGAAACGACTCTATTTTGGCCTTTTCTTCTCTCTCTCTCTCTCTCTCTCTCTCTCTCTCTCTCTCTCTCTCTCTCTCTTTGCAGAGTGTTTCAAATGAATGGGCAAAGGAGGTGCTAAGTAACGTTGATGGGCTGACAGAAGAGAAGGTAGACGAGGTGGTGAATGGATTTCGGCAGGATGCTAAGCAGGATTTGTTGGAGAAGAAAGGGTGGCCATTTGTTTTATCTGCTTATATCATCTCCAAAGCTGCTCTCAATGCCTACACAAGGATTTTAGCTCGAAAGCTCCCTAATTTCTGCGTCAATGCAGTTACTCCTGGCTTTGTTAAGACTGACATGAGCTGCAATATGGGAAAGTTCTCCGTTGAAGAAGGTGCAAGAGGACCGGTAAAGCTCGCTCTGGCACCGGCCGGCGGACCATCTGGTCAGTTCTTCTTTCAGAGCGAACTATCACACTTCTAAATCTACATCAGTGAGGTGGCAATTGCACTTTCAAAGTGCGTTTGAATAAAACCAACGTCTGACAGGTTGGCGGGGGCCTTCCGGCCTGTTGTTCTTTCGGATGTAGCTTTTACAAAAACCTTTTCTTTTCTATTTTGTCATAGTGAAAAAAATATTTGTTTAGTGAACAAGTTCTTTACTGAAATTTGAAAGGGAATTGGAAGCAACTTATGCACGGCTTTTTGTAGTTTCAAATAATAAAGGTTTACACCATTATTTCATTTTCTTTCTACCAAAAGTGGAATACAGTTTTCTCTTTTATTATTTTCTCATGGGTTACAATGAGCAAAATAAATTACAAAAAAGAATTATTTTAAATGTTAATAAAGGGCAGTTTACTGTCGAAGAAGGTGCAAGAGGTCCCCTAAAGTAGGCTCTGGCGGCCTCTGGTGGACCTTCCGGCCAGGCCTTCTTTCAGATGGAATTAACAGAATTCTGAAATCTATTTTTAGTTTTCAACTTTCTATGTAAGAATGTAATAAACTAATTATTGATAAAGTTATATAAATTCTAAAAAATCAACTTATTTAATCTTCTGTACCCATGTAAATAACCCATAATTTATCTAAGCAGTTTTCTTTCAATAAAATCAGATATTATATAAGAATTTCTGTTGATCCTCTTTACTCCATTTTTCTTTCTTCCCTTCCCAGCCATCCAATTCTTTTGGTGGAGTTGTGGTTGAGGATTGGATAACCAATCCCGAGATCCAAATTGTATTCGTTTAATCATTATTGCACAGAGGGGCAAAGATTTATGTAAAACCGAGAATTACGAATACCAAATTCTCTGAAATAAAATTGTATAAGAAAATTGATTTCCAATTTTTCTTGTCCATTCATTTGAAACTATATATTATAAAATATATTAACTTTTCAAAAAAATAAATTATGTTCAAATAAGTGTATGGGTATGAGGATATATATAATGCTATTTAACGGTAATAGAAATAGAGATGGTGATTAAAATTAACATCTAGTTGAGTACGAGAACAAATTTGAGAATGAATTTCCTAATAAAATGTAACTATGAATACGTTGATAGTGACTTCCTAATTCTTTTACACATTTCTAATATATACTCCTAATTAATTCAAATCAGACCAAAAATCACATTAGTTTATTAAAAAGTAACAAAATTTTAGGATTGTTTTTATAGCATTCTATGTAAGGCAATTGATTTATTATAATAAAGAAAAAGAAAAAAGAGAGCTATATTTTATATAATTTGATTAGGAGGGATGAAAGTGAAATATTATAAATTAGCTATATTTAATGTAGTGTGATTACGTAGAGTTGAAAGTGAAATATTATAAATTACCATTCCTCGTTGGTCTGGCTGAAGTCACGAGCATACGTGGAAGCCAATGCTTAGGGTTAAAAACAGCCAAGATGGCCAAAGCCAACTGAAATATACCAAGTAAGTCTGCAACTTCATCATCTTCAACATTCTTCAACGCCCAATTCTCCTTCTGGCAGAAATGGAAGCAACAGCCACCACTGAAACACCCAACAGGCACACCCCTAACCCACCTCCTTCCAGCATTTTGTTTGAATTTGTTTTTTGATCTTCATTTGCTGTTTTTTAATTTTCATTTTCTTGGGGAAAACACCTAAAATTTTTGAAAATTCTATTATTTTCATTTTGGATGGAAAATAGTTTATCTGAACATAATTTCTTGTTCTTTTCTTGAAATTGACCCTGTTTTCTGGGAACTGTCCCTAAAACAGTTTTCAAAAGAAGAAAAAATCTTACAAAAAATGTTGTCAAAAAAAAAAATATAAACACAAGTCTTCCACCAAAAATCCAGAAGCGTGAAAATCTTAAAATTTTTCTGTTCTTTTGATATTGTTTTCATTTATTAACGAAAAGGGTTAATATATCGAAGGGGATTGCCAGCCATCACTGAAGCTTCGTCTTTTGTTTGTGCGTCTGCGAGTGATTAGAATTGCAGTTGTAACAGGGTCCAACAAGGGGAATATGGCTAGAGGCAGCTGGCTTCCAGTGGAGTCGTGGTGGTCTTAACTGCTAGAGATGAGAAGAAAGACTCTGAAGCTGCTCAAAGCCTGAGAAACACTGGTCTTTCCACCATTGCCTTCCACCATCTTGATGTGGTAGATCCTGCAAGTATTGCCTCTTTGTCAGATTACATCAAGAACCAATCGGAAAGCTCAACATACTGGTTAGTCAATAATTCACTTCCTATGAAAAGCTACTAAATTTCTACATAGCTCTGAATTGGGTAGTTTAGTTAAATGTTAAATTCTCGACAGGTGAATAATGCAGGGATCCGTGGACTTAAAATTGATGCAGAGGGTTTTGCGCGTTTAGGCCTCAAGACCGGCAAGGAGGTAAGTCTTACTGTGTACTGAGAAGTTGATTCTTCTTTACTTATACACGAAATAGGTGGCGGAAAGAGCTGAAAAAGTTCCTGGGTTCTGAGATTATGAGCACAAAAGATCCTCTGGTCAAGAAGATTACGGAGCAAACTCGTGAAACAGCATAATCGGGTCTGTAAACAAATTACTATGGAGTCCAAAAGCTGACTGAAAGCTTTGATTCCGCTTCTCCAGCTATCAAGTTCAGCTAAAATAGTTAATATCTCATCAAATGAAGGGCAGATAGAGGTAGCCATCAAATTCACCATTGAAGTCAAGGGGGATATCTCTCCACACTTGCAGTTTTTCACAAAACAACATTTTTGGTTTTTTTCAGAATGTTTCCAATGGTTGATGGGCTGGCAGAAGGAAAGGTAGACGATGTGGTGAATGAATTTCTGCAGGATGCTAAGGAGGATTTGCTGAAGAAGAAAGGGTGGCCTTCCGTTTTATTTGCTTATATCATCCCACTAGCAGCTCTCAGTGCCTTCACAAGGAATATAGCTAGAAAGTTCCCTAATTTCCGCGTCAATGTAGTTCATCCTGGCTTTGTTAAGAGAAACATGAGCTATGTGGGCCAGTACACCCTCGAAGAAGGTGCAAGAGGCCCCGTACAGCACGCCCTAGCACTTGCCGGTGGACCTTCTGGTCAGTTCCTCTTTCAGAGCGAACTATCACACTTCTGAAATCTACATCTGTGATGTGACAATTACACTTTTGAAGTGCGTTTGAATAAAACGGACGTTTGACAGGGATATCTTACTGCCGGTGGACCTTCCGGCCAAGTCTTGCCTCAGATGTAGTTATGACACAGACCTTTTTCTTTTCTTATCTATTTTATCACGTTGTTAATAATTTGTTTAATGAAATTTGAAAAGAGATTGGAAGGGACTTGTGTATTCCGTTGGGCTTTTTGTAGTTTCAACTAATAGAAGGTTTACACCATTGTTTATTTTTTTTTTTTTGGGTTACTACACCATCGTTTAATTTTCTTTCTACTAAAAGTGGAACCTAATTTTTTCTATTATTTTTTTTCTCAGGGGTTATATTGAACAAATTAAATTACAAAAGGAATCTTTTTACACGTTAATTATTGAAGTTAAATTTCTTAACTTCTGAAACTTGTGTAATAAGCCCCATAGACTTTTCTTCTGGGTAGTTGGTACTGCTGGGAATTAATTAGATTATCTTGGTGGTAGTTCTGCTCATTTAATTTCGTCCTTTGTACTTCTTCCAACTGCCTTAATTGAAGTAATTAAACAAAAAAATGTAATTAATTTCATTGTTTGCTCTTTAATTATTAGATCTTAGGGAGCATAATTGGGTGTTTAAATATCTCATTAAATTGTGACTTTTTGCTCTTTATTAATCGTTAATTTCCAAATTACAAACAATTAACCATGAAAAATCTCTAGTTACAAGAAAATTTTCAATTAATTTGCTATTATAAATATAATTAAGTTGTCCTAGCTAGTGACTTAAAAGTCAAAATTTTTTTGAGACACGGTAAAAATGAAATACTGTGAAAACAAAAATCAAATTGCAGGATAAATATTTCAATAAATCCCTCCAATCATTTCCTTCAACGGACAACAGTCAAACGCAACTTTGACCCCAGAGAGAGAGAGAGAGAGAGAGAGAGAGAGATAGGGATAATCCAGTGTGTGAAGTGCACGTCAGCGCTTTCAGTTAATCCAGTGTCGTGTCGTGTTTGGTAGTGAACGATGGTGAGCATCATGAACCATATGCCCCTGCACTTCATTTGACGGAAATGCCCTACACCTTGGCCACTATCCCCAAACACTCCCCGCTCTGCCCGTGCCCTCCCTATTGCTTGCAGTGCAAGTGCCACTTTCGGAGCTTCGTCTCCCTCCTTCCAGGCTTTCCAGCAGGTCCTCGTTCATTCACCTTCTCTCTCTCTTTCTCTACAACCCTTTTTCTCTCTCTAGCGAGTTTATAAGAGAGAAGGACGTAAAGGGAGGAGAAGGGCTGAAGAATGAGCTCAGGAACAAGCACTTTTGTGATCAGATGGATCAACTTTCTGACAATGGTATGTGCCATTTCAGCTTCCCTGCTTTAATAGCCGTTTGGTTCTTTTGATTCGGTTCTACATTTGTTATATGATCCGCCTTTCTATTTTTCTATTTGGCTTTTTCTTGATTTTGTGGTGAGCTGTCCCTAATGGGTTTTGTTCTCTTGTTCATGCGAAAATTCCTGTCTGTTTTGGAATTTCCCATTGTTATTTTTTCGATAGTTTCTTGGTTGAATTTGGATTTCCCTGGTTCAATAAATTAACTTTTTGTCTGTTGCTATTTTGAATAGCATAGAAGATATCTCAGCAAAATGTTGAGGGTGTTCTTGTTTCTCTAATCGAGTTCAGGATACCCATTTCCATTAGCAGTGGATGTTTCATTTGCGTAACTGTGGTTTTTGTCCAATTCAAACAAGTAACTCCTATGCGGTTTATAATATTAGGTGCTGTTTTGGTTTTAAATTGTTCTACTTTTCAATTTTGAATTTTGTTTGTAGCTGCTGGCTGTTGCCGTCATAGGTTTTGGAGTGTGGATGAGCACTCACCATGATGGCTGTCGAAAGTCTTTCACTCTCCCAGTTCTAGGCCTTGGAGCTATCATATTCATAGTGTAAGATTTGAATTCCTTTGTTTCTGATATTCCTTGTGTCAACTCTATTTTCCTGATGTTAACTCTATCAAGTATTCATTTTGATGTGTTCTGCTTTATATGGTTGCTAAATAATTATTCTGCACTATGCTCAGATCCATAATAGGGTTCTTGGGTGCATTGAAGAACAACTCCATATTGTTATGGATTGTATCCTTTCTTCACGAGGCCTTTGATGTACAAAATATCTGAATATAGATTTTTCTTCAGTCTATCCTTTCTTCTCTACCTTTCCTATTTCCACTTCACTTAACTTTCTGATTGCAGTATCTGATTTTGCTGTTCATAATTTTAGTTGCAATCCTGGTCTTCACAGTTTTGGCGTAAGTATTTCTGGTGCAAAGGCTGGATTGATTTTCATGATGAAATTAGAGAAGAAATGATTAGCCTCTCATGGTGGTGTCTTCCTAGTTCTTATCCTCACCTGTTGCATTAAATTTACTCCTCTAGATATTGAGCATTTCATTTGTCTATGTCATTTATGACTGAAACTCTGACATGAATATTTCTCTGTCACGTTATATAGGTTTATTGTAACAAATAATGGGTCTGGTCACAATGTTTCTGGTTTGAGGTAAGATCTTCACCATGATTTTTATGATAGAATCTATGCTGATATCTCTGATTTTCTTGGTGGAAGAATTATCTTATCATTTATTTCTGGAGAACCAGACTCAACCGTACAAGGAAAGAAATATAGAAATAAATTATCATAGTGAAGACCTAAATGGTGAAAGTATCTCCCTTTCTCTCTCTCGAATGAATGTGGCTTACTTTTTCTCAGTGTTACATGCCCTCCTCAATTTCCCATATGACATTTTTGTTTTCTTGATTCAAGGTTGGGGATTTGAAATAATAGGGATTAATTTTTCTTTCAAAATGTTTGGAGTTGGGAAAAGCATATATTTTGTAGTATATAAAACTTTATAGCCTCTCATGCATATGATGGATAGAAAAATTATAGTTCATGGCCAAAATGCCTTCTTCCAAAAGCCCTTTCTTGAATTAATTATGCATGCTTTTCCCAATATTTCATGGCCATTTGAAATTTTTGTTCTCTTGCTATGAGGATGGGGATTTAAAAAACTAGAAATGTAATTTTAACAATGCTCAAAGTCAAAAAACCTTATATTTGGTGGTATAGTAAATTCTGCAGTCCCTCATGCATATGAGGAATAGAGAACTTATAGTTCATTGCAAAAAATACCTTCTTCCAAAGGCCCTTATTCACATGGGAGGGTTCCATCTATGTTATTGTTTCCCATTTGAGCTTTGAAATTTATTAACTTGCTTTGTTTACATATTCAGAACGACTAACATAATTGTGACTTTTTGATGGCATGCCAACACCTGGTACTCGTACCTAAATCCATGTAAAATTATAAATTATTTAGTTATTGTTGTTTGAAGAATGCATCTGAACAACTTTAGTTGTCTAAATAAAAACCAAAAAGACAAGAAGGGAGAGAGAGAAGTTCTTCAGACTTTGTGAATTTTAGATTTTTCCCCTTATTTTGGATGAATATACTAGGAAATGGGTCTATTATACTTGTTGGTGTCCATTTGCTCAGGTACAAGGAGTATCAACTCCAAGATTACAGCTCATGGTTTCTAAAACAGGTACTCCTAGAAAGTATATATTTATTTTCTAACTGTTCTTAGATTGTCAGCCCCAGATACCTTTTCTGAAATTGGATTCCTTTTTCCAGCTGAACAACACCCATAACTGGGAGCGTTTGAAGAGTTGTCTCGTGAAATCAGATGACTGTAACAACCTGTCCAGAAAGTATAGGGTCTGCTTCACAACTTGAATTCTACATTTTGACTTTTCGTTTGTTGTTTATGATATATGTTAGAATTCCTCTTCTCATGCAGACTCTAAAACAATACAAGCAAGCAAAACTGACCCCTATTGAGGCTGGTTGCTGTCGACCACCATCTGAGTAGGATCATTATTCTTGTCCTCCATGTGAATTTTCATTTTACTGGCAGTTGATTTCAAAATCTGAAAACTTCTTCTCTTCTTCTTCCAGGTGTGGGTATCCCGCAATCAATGCCTCGTACTATGACCTGAGCTTTCACCCAATCAGTTCCAACAAGGACTGCAAAGTTTACAAGAATTCTAAGGCAATCAAGTGCTACAATTGCGATTCCTTCAAGTAAACATCGTATTTCTTCATCTTCTCCTTCTTTTTAGCTCTCTTAATTGAAGTTCTCATTCCCTGTGCTCTTTTTGTAACAAATTTCAGGGCTGGAGTTGCACAATACATGAAAACTGAATGGAGGGTGGTTGCAATCTTTAATGTGGTTTTGTTCGTTGTCTTGGTAAGCAACTATAATGAACCTCGGACACTTAGTCTAATTGTCTTTCATTATCAGTGAATCAATAACGACTGAACACATGAAAACTTTATTTTCCCCACAAATATTTTAGTTGTGTTGCAAAGTAGCCTAATGTTGAATAGGTTAGCCTTATATTCACTATGTAATGTGCTTCAAATTCATTATGATCTTTTACCTCCTAGTGAAGTCCAAGCATAACACTGCTGCAATATGGGTTTTCATTTTCTTGATGGTTGCTACGTTCTCCATGTAGCTGAAGAATTAGTTCTTCTTCTTCTTCTTCTTAAAACAATGAGAAAATAAGCTGAGCTTAACGTGTGTATGTTTTTTGACATCAGTCAATAATCTACTTTGTGGGATGCTGTGCGCGACGGAATGCTGCGAGGAGCCTCTCCAAAGTGTGAAATGGACCGTCGTGTCTTGTCGCTGTATTTTCTATCTTCTGAATTATTGCGATCGTGTAAATGATTTATTATTTGGAATTATGAAACTGGTAATTTATGTAATTTTAGTTGTTCCACTAATAACCTGGGTAAAAGGGAGGCTGTCTTTTTTATTTTTATTTTTATTTTTTTATAAATAATAATTTCGGAAGCTACCATATTGGCAATCAAACAAGGCAGGCAGGAATAGCATTTTCATTTCCAAACATGGGTCTTATTTCAATCACCGAATGCAACCCGCTATCCATGATTCTCTATTATTAGTATTTTCATTTTAAATTTATTATGAATTATGAAAATATTTTTTTATTCTGCTCATTATTATAAGGTACATCGAAGTAGTAAACTTAAGACACAAATAGAATTTTTAACCTTCAAGTTTATTTCCTTTGCTTGTTCTCTCTTCAAAAAAAAAAAAAAAAAAAAATTACAAAGGAGGGTACAAGTCCCAGGGAAATGAGTACACAAGATTTTTTATTTTGTTCAAGGACAAAATTTAGAAGTACAACTATGGCAATTTCTGTGACAAAGCAAAACTAATCCCACGTGTTGAAATACTAGTAAGAAATAAGATTTTGATCTCAAGACAACATGACCGTATCAGCATTAAAGCATGAAAGCAAGGAGAAACTCAGAAGCAGCGGAGTCATTGGACACGGTTGGTGCAAATCAAAATTGCAGATTTCATTTCCTCTTTACCCAGGGATGTCTGCACTACTACCTGCACAAAATGATTCATCATAAGCCAGCCTGCATTAGATTACTTTCTAGATCATAGAGTATTTAAGAGTGCCCACAATAACCAAGCTTCTCCCCTATTATATTACTATTTTTAAAATTTTTTTATAACATAATTAATTACAAAGAATTGAAGCACTTGATTTTACTACGTTTAGAAACTGGCATGCCAAAGTAAATCGGGTTAACATTTGTCCTCTTTGTTTTCTACTTGGGGTACAATAATGAATAAACTATTATAGAACCGCACGGCATAAGTATAGATATATTTCATAACCTTGCCTGATTTATTGCATAAGGCAACAAGCATGAGTAGGAAGAAAAACGATGACTTGGTTAAGTCAATATAATGTCTACAAATCTCATCGGGATTCAACAGATCTTTCAAACCAGTTAAATCCACGGAATAGACTTCAAACTTTCAAACTAGTTACATTTGGAGTATAAAAAAATATATAAATCTTGATCAAGGATAAAGATACAGTTTCTGTTATTCATACTGATAGGAAGCTGAGCCAAGATGGGTATACTAGCTAAATCTTACCTCTTGCACTTTGTTTCCTGACCGAGCAAGTAACTTGTATTCATTCTCATACATGGATGCCATATAAACCTGCCAACAGGTTGATTAAATTGAAGTAAGTCTGAAGGAAAGCACTAGATAGCTCTTGGCAGCTAACACAAGCATAAGTTAAGAAGAAAATTTAGCTCAATATTGATTCATCTCTTTGCAAATTTTCTCTATCCATGAGCTTAGATGTAAACAGAACTTTTGCACCTAGCACCAGGATGCACCTAATATCCAAACTACAGGCTAGGACTAAGATGAAATGTTCAGAGGTGTTCAGTAAGGTAAATGAGAGAAATCTAGAAAACAAAATATTGATTGACTCTAACAATCATGTAGTTATTTAAAAGAGCAGCTCACGGTAAGCCTAAAATACAAATTTTTTGTAGGAATAGATAGCTGATATCGCCATTGAATCATCTTTTGCACCCATCAGGTGAAAAGAAACAAATCCCCTTGGGTAGGATTAACATTTGTAACAGTTGCTTATAGTCCATCAAAGTGTATGAATCCTACTTCATCCCAAACATTATAAAAGAGCATGAAACATTGAAAAAATCACTATAAGATGTGGGAAAATATACAAGTTAGGCAATCCATGAATAAAATAGTGCATGCAAATTACTTATTAAGATTTATTCTGGTCCCGTGTTGATAAATTATTGGAGTAACTATACCTGAAAAGTAGGAGCAAGTCCAGGGCTCAGGAAATAACGGCCTTTTGATACAGCTTGGATCCCTTCAAACTGCTGTAATTCCCCAATAAGTGACTCCACTTCAGCCCACTGTCCAATTTTACATACAGAACATCAAGTTTAGCCACCGGAAACACTGTATAAAGATAAAATGGATGACTCCAATACCAGTTTGCTTAATTATTTAATATACTGACATCCTAAACAGAAACTAATGAAGAAAAAGGAACAAATTATTGGAATTTATTTGCTTATATGTCAAACCATTGATTCTTTGCAAGGTATACTTGGTTTATCCTACACTGAAAGTTGCATTAGACCAATGCTTTTGATATCATTAACGCCATGGTACAATAACTAAAATCCATGTTCTTTATTTTGGGAAGTGAATACAAAGGACACCATGATGATGCCTTGTGACAAACTACACAAACAAAATTCCCTAACAACTATCTAAAAGAATATTCAGTTTATAGTTTGACCAAGAAGCAATCCCAGAAAACTGCAGTAAACAGGAAATGCTCTACAAGTCCTAGTTGGAGAAAAGCATGTGCCAGTTGAGAAAAAAGTCAAACAGAACATAAACCTCAGTTAAAGACCTTTCTTATGACACATTACTAGGCTTCTAAGCTGTGTAGGGAAGGAGATAATGACCAATCCATTCATCTAAGGAACAACTTGATGGAAATATCGAAGGTTTAGATTTCCTCCGGTTCAGGCCAATATGAAGTTTGTGGCAAAAGATAAAAACCAAGCGCATGCTCACTTAAACTAATCTTAGTCAATAAATGCTTAAACATACTCCTACTAAACAGGGACAAGTAAAAACCTCTTCATCTGCTTTGGCTGCTAGTAGTCTAGCATCCATGGAGTTTTGATCACCAATTACAGCTTCCAACGCCTCAACCAATGGATCTGGCTGTCTTAGCAAAGAAGTAGAATGTTTATATCAAGATAAAAATTCTTCCTTGATCAACAATAAACACCCCATGCAAACATAAATTACCGTTGTTTCCTTCAACGAGAGAAAAATGCGGTCAAGTGAAAAATCCAACTGGTGAACTTTTGCCTCCACAGTCTGCAACCAGGAGTGTCTCAAGGAATTCGGTAAAAATTTACAAAAAATAAGTGCATCACAAATAAAGTATGCATTACAGGAACAGTTCTTCAAGCACTAGATAGAGGAGAGAATCTTTCACCAAATTAATTTGTTATTCTGGCTGTGAATATTTAGATGTTTGATACTGCCAAAAACTTTACATGTGGAAATTTACAACATGCACCATCCAACGCTTTTGTAGTGCACCATCCATCTTCCCAAACAATTTCAGTTTTATCGGATAGTACATAAAACTTAAGTTGAATCTTGTACATAATAGCTGAATTGGTATATTGTAATTTAGAAGTTGGCTCAAATACCTGACCAACTTTAAAATAAGATGCAGGATCCAAAGTGGCATCCCATGACACTTCTGTTTGGTGAATTAGTGCAGGTACTCCTTCCACCTACATTAAAAAATTTAGGTCAATGTTGATAAACAGTAGTCATCTGTAGATTGATGCTGTTTACAATTAAAAAAAAAAATCATAGAATAATTTAAGAGCCAATAGGTTTCACACTTATGACGCTCACAGTTCTCTCTCTGTGTGCAGCCAAAACCATGAGATCACAGAAGAACATAGCAAGTCAGTTATTGAATGGAAAAAATCAGCAAGTCATTTATTTACCTCAACAAAAATGCCAAAGTAAGTAATCTTTTTGATACAGCATTTCACCACATCACCAATGCTAAGCTTAGCCTGCAAATAAATAAAAAAACAACATTACCCACATCAAACAAACATCTAATTCCAAGCAGGAGTTTACACAGAGACATCAGAAACACAAGTGCCTTGATAACACCAGAAAACAATACCCAGAAAAATATGCTTTTTAAGGGAAAAGATCTTTGACCAAATGGCCAAACTTAAAATAGTGAAATTTGCATTATTGACTGATTCACAGATATAAAAGCTCCATCCTATGAAATACTAGTAACAGCCTAGGTAAAGCTATCATAATTATTGTTCACATCATGCATTATATCCTATTACCAATCCTTTCTCATATTGCCAACCTGTGAACTTCAATTCCCATCCATAAAATGAGGCTAAAATTAAGGCCTTCAAACAAATCATAAACAAAGGAACTTTTCGTACTGAAGAAGAAGAAAAAGAAAGAAAGAGAAATCAATTTCTGATGAAGATAAAAGGTTTTTGTGAGCATAAGTAAAGCAAAAGTTTCATACCATAAGCTTTCTCTTCTTTTCAACTAGTTCTTCCTTCTCTTTTGGCTTTACAGAAAATATTAACTTTCTGGATTTTCTATCAGCCAATTCCACATTCACTTTTATTTTCTGCAAACATCAGTTTCATCAATAATAAATAAAAAATAAGATTCCAATATCAAAAAAGTTTTTCGAACCTGGCCAACAAAAGATGATAAGAATTTCAGTTTCTCTTGGTCATAGATTCTTAGAAGATCTTCCAGTTGCATATCAGGAGAAATATCTAGATCAACAACTTTATCAATTTCAGGACCTGGGCTTGAATCAACAGATGTATTGATTGATAATCCTTGGTTTCCTATGATGCCTAAATTGTGCTTGTACTTAGATGGATCTAAGCCTTTCCTCCTCAGCCACGACTCAAAAGCCAAGAACTTCCACCTGGCAGAGAGATTACGGTATGGCAAAAAATCCAATTAAAGAGCCAAAAGCAACCTGTAAAATGGTTGAGTGGGATTCAGATAATGAGAAAATAGAAGTATTAACAGCAAAAATCAACAAGTAGGAGGTACAACAAAAAGGCAGGTGAGGAAATATTTGGAGAGAATGCATTAAGTGTGTACTTACAACAAAGCCCCTGGTGCTAGAACTAATCAGTTCCACTTCTTCTCTTCCTGCTGTCTTAATCAGATCCTCAGCCCTTCTCCAGTCATTATCTTCATGCTCCTACATTTTAGTATAGAACTCAGGGTCTAACACATGATGTTCAACCAAACATGTATGGGGATAAATTATATGTCTAATAAACCTTTATAGGTGAAGTTGCAACGAAATTCTTGAGCTCAACAGCATTTCCATAAATTTCAGGCTTTAACATGAAAGCCTTCTCTTCACGGCTCGAATTTGATGTTCCCTTTATAGACATGTCTAATCTATAAAAGATAAGACAGCTACTTATGAGACTACTAAAACTAGATATGGATGATCATGAAATCAAAATATTAAAGTGCACTTCGCTTCCCACCTTTCTGGTTTTCCTTGCAAAGCAGCTTCCATAGAGTACTTGATATCAGACTCTACCAATTTTGTCTCAGGAGGTGAATTACCATGACTTGATTTCTCGGATGATCCTACCTCACTCTGCTCAAATGGCTGTAATCCTTGAAGACAAAATTGAGATGTTAACTTTAAAAGTTCTATTGGCAGAATATCTATCCGAATTTTAGTACATTACCTATAACGGAGTAATCCTCAAATCCAGCATCCCTTGATGGTAAAGCATTTGCAGTTTGCATGGATTCATCATAATTACTTTCTACTGTATTAGCCGTTCCAGAAGGCAAGTTCAGATCCTCCAAATTGAAATCATTGCTAGAGGTCGATCCTGTGTAGTCACCAGAAGACTCTTGTTTCTCATTGATATTTGAACTCAAATCCATTTGAGATGGCTGCTTTAAGAGCGTGACATCATTAGTTGCTCCAGTGAATTCAGATGTACTCGGCCCATTGGCTTCCATACCAGTTTTGGCTTTTGAACCACCAGAGTGTTCTTGTTTCTCGCCAGCACTCAAGTCCCTATGCATTGGTTCAGGCTTCCTTAGCAATGTAATATCACTAAACTTCTCTTTTGTCTGCCCCTTTCCCATTTTCAGTGATATGTTCGGTCTAAGTCTCCACTTTGACTTAGGCTCAACATCATCCTCGTTGAACGTAGTTGGCTTTCGTAAAATCACATTAGGAAGGCTACCTCTATTGTTATCTACTGGCTTCCTTGCCGGTGATTGGCTAGGTTTCTTCATCACCGGTTCTGCTGGTTCATTACCATCCTTAAACTTGACACCTTTCTTAGGCACTGGACGAATCAAATTCAATCCGCTCAATGAGTATGAGGATTGTTCTTCCCCAGATCCTTCAAAGGGAACCTCCTCTACTTCATTAGTCATTGATTTCCCCTTCTTCTTGCCAAATGACTTCTCGACCTCTAGATAGGACACATCAGGATTTGCTTTTCTGGCCATTATCTGAAGCAAACAAAAGGATGACGAAGATTAGCTAAACTAACTTATAATATCAGTACCAGAGAGACTAATTAAACGATTACCCATTTTCCGATTGATCAAAAACATTATAAAAATTTGGAAACCACCTCTCTGGTTGCCTTCTTCATTCCAATTACAGTATTTATTAATACTTCGAAAATTTTGAAAAACTATATACATTAGCCAATTACATGGCAGAAATACATTCATTAACTGCTAAACTGTAACGTATATATAAAATCCATTCACATAATCACCCAATAAGAAATTCGCGCACACACGCACGACTAGAGACCTTTGCAAGGGTCAGTTTAGGGTCTTCGCCGATTAACTGACCGAACTTGAGCTCCATCTGGTCCCACTTGTCCATCTTAGGGTCGTCGCCAGAGGCAAAAACGAGAAATTTACAGGGCCTTCGCCGAAAAAACACACTTCCATTTCCAATAATTCTTTGAGTGGGTATGTGGCAAGTCAAGAAGAATCGGAAGTCCAAAGGATTATTGGTGGAGGTAGCAGTGGCGAGAGCGAAACGGTCCATTTCCTGAGGATCTCGTTTCGTTTCTCTCGGTTACATTAATCTGGCGTGTGCTCCCGAAAGAATTTCAGGTTGGAGCAGCAAGCAGAACATACAAATAGAGAGAGTGAGAGAAGGCGAGAAGGGCTCTGCTGGGTTTTATCCGTGGCGTGTGCAACGTGGCATTTCAGCATTTGCGCTTCGGGGCTCCGGCTTCTTTTCATTAACACAAATCGATGATATTATTTTTCTTTTTTTGCTTTAAAAAAATAATGATTTTTGGTCCTAAAATTTGGTCACCAACGGGAATAAAAACTGTGGTAAAACAGTAATTATCTCTTTTTTGAGGAAGCGATACAGTAATTAAATTGGCTTTTTCTACCAAAAAATAGTTGGTTAAAAAAATTGAAAAAAATATAGTAATTAGTTTGGTTTTCACTGGATGTTAATGTATAAAAATAATTTCCCAGATGTTATTATATTGTAAAAATGTACTCACCTACTTTAATTTTTAAATTTTTAAAAAATAACCTTTTTAAAAAATTACTATTTTTGGCTACATTTATGGGAAAAAAAGAACTTTAACAAATTTAGATGACATAAAATAAACACATAAAATTTACTATTCTGAAACCGTTAGATTTTAGGTGAAGGTGGGCCCGGATGGCTTGGATTTGGCCACGTTCGTGTAGTAGATTCCCAATGATTTTTTATTAATTTAATAAAAAAATCAATTAACACTAATTACTTATTGATTAAAACTAATTAACCAAAAAGTAGACGACATGCCAAAACCGCTACTCCCGGCCCCTCTCCCTCATTTAAGCCGCTTTCATTTTTGTCTTCGGTGCCGTTTCAGTTAATTTCTCCTGCAAAAACCCCTCCAGGCAATGCTATTCTCCTGCCTCTATCTTCGATCCATACACACGTAGCTGCATTGATATTGCCGTGATTGAACCTTCTTGAGGAGTGGTTGTGTTTAATGTGCTGATGTATACTCGAGGAAGGTACCCTCCGGGGATCGGGGACGGTCGTGGCGGCAACGGCAACTTTCGCTTAAACCCTAGCTTTCATACTCGAGGTGCCCAGCAACCATCGCAGAGACAGGTGCAGAATCAGCAGCAACAGCAATGGCTGAGGCGGAACGCGATTGAGACTGACTTGGCTGTTAGTGAGGTCGAGAGAACGGTGCAGAGCGAAGCCACCGATTCGAGGTACATTGCATTAGAGCTTAGAATTTTTTGTTTTAATCAGGCACTTTGATGTCCATAGACTCCATTCTCAGTGATTTTAACCGGGCGAGAACTAAATAATGGCCATGTCATTTCGGTTTCACCAAGCTAAGACATTGGCATCATGATTCAGGCACTTGGACGCGTCCAGTTGATGGGCGCACAGGCACAGGCCCACACACATACATTGTCACTATTGTGTGGTTATTTATATCTTTTGCCATGTAGTACATTTTCTATTTGGATATCATGTAGCTGAGACTGGACTGAAATCACATGCAAGAAGCTGTTTGCAAAAAATGTTAAGCATATCAGTATTGATCTTGTTCAATGTTTTGAAACTCCGACCACTGGGTAGAGTGAAAAAGGTGTTGGGTTAATAATGTCTCAAGGCCCCATTCAACATATTGGAGAATCATTAACTGGTTTGATTTCGTAACTAGATAGTAATTATATTGGATATAGTTAATTTATATTCCAAGAATTGTGAAAGATCCTAAGCTCCTAACTCATCTCACAATTGGATAAGGAAACAATACGTGCTCACACATAGCATAAAGCCACAAACAATGGCACTGCATAGTCGGTACTTTGAATAGTCACTTTACATAGAAGTTATGTGCCAATGTTAATCAAGGTCACCATTGGTGGAAAGGTATAGATACCCTAAATATGTATTCTTCTATGCTCTCAAATATCAACTACATCACAAAAGGCATTAAAAATAAACCCAAAAATGCAAACATAGCTTTTTGTGACTCTGCTGTTGACAATTTCGTCATGTGTGTCTTGTCAGTAAGCACCAGTACAACAAAGGATTTTCTGTAGATTGGGAATAGACATAATGTCAAATGGGGATAGGTTTGTCAAATGTCTTGACTAGTTCACATTTGCACTTGCACTTGCACACAACCATAAAAACTTACACATTGCCACCTGTGAGTGCATGTTTGCTCAGGCACAAAGCAGAGCTCACCTACTGTTGATTTTTCCACGTGGGGGATGTTTTTTGCTTTTGGGGGCTGGATAAAGATATAAACGGTCCTACCTCTGGTTGTCTAAAGCAATGTTTCTGCTCGGACCTGACTAATCTGATTGGAGCCAACAGCTGTCAACTTTTTTTCTTTTAATTGGCTACTGGAGGCTAGATAAACATATGGTCAATTTCATTTATCGATGTCTTTAAAAGTGTCTTTGTCCAGGATTGACTGGTCTAAATGTAGCCTTGGCTTTTTTATCCATAGGAGCCTGATGAAACATCACTGATTATACTTCAAAATATGAGCTGTTATTACAGGTTAACTAGTAACCTGGTTGTTTACATTGTAGTGTTGTTCTGCTGGGATTCATGAGTGTGGTGATTGACTACAATGCATCTGACTTCTAATTTCATTGTTATTAGGCCTTTGTGTGGCCTATGATAGATAAATATCTTCATTATTATTAATTTAGGCCTTTGTGTTTGCCTATGATTGGTAAATATCTTCATTCTAAAACCTCACTTCTTATTGTCAAAATTATGCAAAAGATAACTATGGTTGCTTGTCTTTGAAAATAGGATGTGTAAATATTTGGTAATCTCCACATTATAGTTTATCATTGTGAAAAAGGCTAATTCAAGTCTAGTAGTTATGTAGGGGAGAGCTTGTTGAGTTGCATAGTTTACAGTCAGGAAGAAAGATTAGTTGAATTGGGTTGAATAGTTGAGTAGGTGATCTAACGGCATTTTGTTCTTCTTGTTTGTATGTTTGGAAAAGCTCACACGATTGGAAGGCTAGGTTAAAGATGCCACCACCTGACACTCGTTATAAGACTGAGGTATGAATGTAAACGATAATATTGAATATGGGTATCCTTGCCAATTTAAGTTTTTGTTTCTTTTTTCCAATTCCTTTCTAACTTCAATATAAAATTGAATATATAAATCACAATCTAGAGAACTCAAATATGACAGTTACACACAAGCATAGGATGATTTTCTCTTTTATTGCCTATATGTGCATTTGTGTTATGTTAAAAGATATTTCAATTTTTGGACTTTTCTTGTCTACTGTTGATTGACTATAGAATATCAATATAGGGTGACCTGATGCATATATTGAGTCTTATCCTCTCTTCATGTGCTTTAAACATGTCCTAATGCTTGATGTCACTTTTGCATTGACTAGGCCAGAAGCCTTCAATACACAGGCTTCAGCCAAATTTCAATTTGACAGTATAAATTTATACCAGGTGGAAGAAAGAAACTAAATTCAGATTCAGAATTTAATTAGAGTGTAGTTGCTATTTAAATTCAGAAATTTAGTCAAGTAGCTGAAAGATAATATATATGTTCTTTTGGACATGCACAGTGAAAATCCATGTGGCCCCAATTTAGGAAGAGTTTGACTATCTACTTGAGGGTGACATTTGGGGTGGATGGTCAAAATTCACTTGAGCTGTAAAAATGAATAAAAATCTTGTTTGTCATGATTGATCTTTAAACTGTGACTTCTAAAAGAGCTGCATAGACATATAGGATCCCGATACTTGATGCATACAGTTGGGGAAAAGCTTAGTGGTGCATTGTGTTGATTTTTTTATTTTTTATTTTTTATGGCTAATAGCTCATATTATTTGAAATAGATAGATTATCATTGATTCTGAATTGGCCATTAAGTTTGTATATTCAAAATATTTATCAGAATCTTGGGTATTTGAGCAATTGTGGAGATTAACAGAGTGATTCTAGTTGCCTCCATGACTGCCAACCCTCTATCATCGTTGTTACATGGACTAAAGTACATAATATATCATCACAAGAACATAGTTGTCAGCATGATAACCTATGCATATGGTAATACCTTTGCACTCAGCCAACAGCATAAAAACCACTGTGGATTAAAATTTTCTGCTTTCCTTAACAGGATGTCACTGCTACCAAAGGAAATGAGTTTGAAGACTATTTCTTGAAACGGGAACTGCTCATGGGAATATATGAGAAGGGTTTTGAAAAGCCTTCTCCAATTCAGGAAGAAAGTATTCCTATTGCTTTGACTGGAAGTGACATTCTTGCTAGAGCTAAAAATGGAACTGGGAAAACTGCGGCATTTTGCATTCCTGCTCTTGAAAAAGTCGATATTGGCATCAATGTAATTCAAGGTATTTATTTCTACTTCAATGGAGACGACTTGCATGCTTAGGTATTTATTCTTTGCTTGTTAGGTCAGTGGTCCAGGAGCAGGCTCAAAGTAAACCTCTTGCTTGGTTGAAATCAAAAGTCATCTGGTGGCAAATTATTTCTTTTGAATCTTGCTCTCATTGTGTGGGTAGTGGTTTCATTTTTGAATGACTTCTAGATTTTAGTACTTCTGCTTCAGTTGTTTATTAGATACCATTATATTGGTTGTGTACTTTTCATGGTGGAATTGAACAGCTCAACATTTTTATGTTCATTATGATTTATGCCTTTAATAATCAATGCAGTCATTGTACTCGTCCCAACCAGAGAGTTAGCTCTTCAGACTTCCCAAGTCTGTAAGGAACTTGGTAAACACTTGAATATTCAAATCATGGTCAGCACAGGAGGAACAAGTCTGAGAGATGATATCATGCGTTTATATCAGCCGGTGCATTTGTTGGTTGGTACTCCTGGTAGGATACTTGATCTTGCCAAAAAGGGGGTTTGCTCACTGAAAAATTGCATGATGCTTGTTATGGATGAGGTATCTCAAATTTTCTTTTAGATGTGTTATTATCTTGTGATCTAGTAAACTATATATTTACTAACGTATATCTCAACAGTGGATTTCCGAAAGTTGTAAACCCATGATAATAATACTTGTTAACAATGAATTCAAAACCTCTAGTTGTGATTCTCTGAATGGTTGTATTTGATTTTGTTTGTGTGTTTACATATCTAAGCAGGAGTTTGCTTCTCTTGTCTTTGTCTCACAGGCAGATAAACTTCTCTCCCCAGAATTTCAACCTTCAATTCAGCAGCTGATTCAATTTCTTCCTCAGAATAGGCAAATTTTAATGTTTTCAGCTACATTTCCTGTTACTGTCAAAGATTTCAAAGATAGATATCTGCAGAAGCCCTACATTATAAATCTCATGGATGAACTTACTCTAAAAGGCATAACGCAATATTATGCTTTTGTTGAAGAGAGGCAGAAGGTCCACTGCCTGAATACACTTTTCTCTAAGGTTTGACCCCAAGTAAAGCAGTACCTTTCTACTTCCTTTGTCTGTGAATTGTATATATCTGATTCTTCACTTACAGCTGCAAATTAACCAATCAATCATTTTCTGCAACTCTGTGAATCGGGTGGAGCTGCTGGCTAAGAAAATTACGGAGTTGGGTTATTCTTGCTTCTACATTCATGCTAAGATGTTGCAAGATCATCGCAACAGAGTATTTCATGATTTCCGTAATGGAGCATGCAGAAATCTTGTTTGCACTGGTACTGTCATGACACTCTTCTATGCAATCTGCTGCCAAATTTTTGCTTTTGTGAATTCGCATGACTGTCGGTATCAAGGATTTGCTTTCAAATGATATATCTTTGTTGAAGAAGAATAACTACAGATCTTTTTTTTTTTTTTTTTTTTTTTTTTTTTATCTTGTCTTTTAGTTTATTATAGTGTTAAGATGGAACTTGTACATTCTGTATAGTAGACATGTCATGGTGTCCATAAACTGTGATGTGCTTAATGTATGCCTTTGCGCTTACTGCTTAGACAGTGTATAGTTGGGCGGCTAACCTGCCAACTAAAACAGATAACAATTGGGACCTAAGATATGGACGAAAGAAAGACTCCCTGATCTATTAGGTAATAAACTAACAAAATAACTTACCCATGCTTCAACATTGGGTAGATGAAGATGTCAGGGGAAAGATGCAGCCCTGCTAAAGATTTCAGAAATCCAATCCTTGTAAGGGAAGAGCCGCCATTTTACAGCCTGAATGAGGCCAGGCTTTTTTGCCACTAAAGCTTGGGACACATCTCTCACCTCCATCCTCCCATGCCATAAACAGAGTGCCCCCCAAGAATGTTTCTTTTTTTTAAAATACTCACTCAATGTCTTTCACCTCAACAAGGATTACCATACAGAGGATTAATCAGCCATGGTATAGGGCTAGGTTTAGATTCAGTTTCTCACATCATCAAAAAGATTGACCATTATGATATAACTGTAAAATCTGGTGATGGGAAACACCTTTCCATAAGAGCCTCTGAAATTGTAGTTCTTGTTGCTTTTTCATTGAACTAAAGCTTATTTTCAGCCATACGATTATTTAAATTATCACTGTTCTGTTATGATGGGTTCTACATACAAGATAAAAATGCTGCATTATGGAGGCTAATTGGCTTCAACTTTTTTGATAGATTTATTTACAAGAGGAATAGACATTCAAGCCGTCAATGTGGTCATCAATTTTGATTTTCCTAAGAACTCAGAGACATATTTGCACAGGGTAATGAGACCTCGTATTGAATTATGGATAGTTTCTGTTTCATTTCTGATTGGAAGATAGTATTTCTTCCCAGGTTGGACGATCAGGAAGGTTTGGGCATCTTGGTTTGGCTGTGAATTTGATCACTTATGAAGACCGGTTCAACTTGTATGTATTTATTTCCTCTGCCACAAGGAAAACACAGTCTCAGATTAGTCATTAGGAAGGTTTGGATTTGTGGGTATATTACAAATATTTTTTTCTGTATTCAGGTATAGGATTGAGCAAGAGCTTGGGACTGAAATAAAGCCAATTCCTCCCCAAATAGATCAAGCTATTTACTGCCAGTGACCTTTGATAGAAGTATTATATTCAGACAATGGTGAGTTTAGCCAGCACCTAATTACTTTCTCCTGTCATGAGGTATTTTTATGCTTCACATTTCATTCCAGAAATTCAGCAGAGTTATTTGCTAACAGTTATAGTAATAAAATACACCCGGGCGTTTTTCACAATAAAATGTTTGTACATGTGTTTGTATGTATATTTAAGCGAAGTACAAATCTGAAGGGTCATTCTCCCTCTGTAGACAAGCTTTGGTTAACTGCAACCTCAATAGCAGATATTTTGTCCCACCACATATAAGTCAAACTTATTACTCTTAGTTGGGTTGGATTCTTGTCTTTCATATCAATTCGAGCTTGGTGCAGTGAATAACTTGACTTACCATTCACTAATTCTTCTTGCAGGATGGTTCTGAAATCTGACTTGTTACCTAACTTCAAAACTTTGAGAGGAAGAAATGACTACAAATAGGCTGTTCGGAGTCACTTGAAGACTCGTATGCAACTGATTGTAGAAGGCAGAACTAGTGAAACAGCTTAGGAATTTGTCTAATCCTGAATTTCTCTTCTAGGTTGATTTTAGCTCTCTCACGAGGCTTTGAGGATTGTTGGTTGAACTTGATGCCAGCGCCTAAAAACGTTCTTCAAGCCAAATTTCTGTGTAGTCCCCGCTTTATGCTTCTAACATGAATATTAAAACCCATCTGGAGATCCAGTCTTCTTTTCTGATTTTTATGTGGTTCGGCTACTGCCTGAAATATTTGCTCTCTCCATATATTATTGCTGACACATAGAACTTCAATTTGATATGTTCAAGCGAAGACTTGAATAAATTGCTTATATGGAAAGAAGAGTACTGCTCTGCAATATGGTACAAGGCAAATCTTCAAATTTCAAGACCCACAAATAAAAATTCGTAACTGTGTTTCATTTTCTGATAAGAAACTGTGCACACTGGAAGCACTCCGTCGAAGCCAGAATTAAATTTACAAAATCAACAGCAAGCAGATTATTACCCATCACAAAGAATATAAACATTTCTAGCAGCAGAATAAACGAAGTCTTTCTGAATCTCACTTTTTTCTCTTTTCATTCAGCCTAATAGAAAATTAGCAGCCAAAGCAACCAAACAGCCTGTTTGGAACGGTACCAGTTGATCGAAATTTTGCAGCAATCTCTTCTGCCTTGAGGACATCCTCTCTCTTTTGGCTTCAACCATTGCTTTCTTTTCTTCTGACGCTCTGTGGATTTCAGCTGTCTTGTTCTTCATTTTCTCTGCATATTCCGCTTTCTTCTTTTCATATTTTTCCTGTTATAACATCAGATCCGACAAAAAAAAATAATCATATATGCAAATCGAGAAGATGTGCATTGTTGATAAATTTAGTATCGGAACACGTACCTCAATATTCTTGAGCTCAGCTTCTACATTAGCTTTTTTGCTGTTCTCCCATGCTTCAATGGTGGATAACTTCTTGTACGCCCTAAATCAAGAGTTTCAGGGAGTTCAACTTGCAATAGTTCAAGCACTAAATCTTTGCCATTAAAAAATTAGGTCAGCAACTCAAATCTCGTCCAAAACCCAATCCAATTTAGCTTCAAATCCAACCTAAGAAGAACTAAAAGAAATTTGTGTTGTGCTTAAACAGTTCTAAATTAACTTAGTTTGGGTTTTGGACATTTTAACCTGGACTAAATCCAACTTAAAACTCCTAAATAAAGTGCAGCCACCCCAATTCCCCGAACCCCCCCGGAAAAGGAAGAATGGAAGAACCATCGCACTGATTACTGAATTGAGAAGTCTGACTGAATTTTCGGTTTTTCATAACGGTGAATGTGAACTGTACCAAAAACAGAAAGGGAAAAAAACAAAAAAGAACTGGGCCGTCGATGAGTGGTTGTTTGAGGGGCAGTTATGTCCAAAGATGGAACCTTCACCTACCTAAAAGGTATGAAAAATGATCCCCTCCAAAAAGGGGAAGCGACCTTCTAATTTTTATTATATGCTTAATTAAGTTGATTAATAAATCAATAAAACGAAAATATCAGCAACACCGCCACACAGAACGGTGAATAAAAGGAAAATAAATCGTACTTGTTTTCTGCCTTGGTTTTTTCACTTTCTTCCCAGGCTTTGACGAGAGCCAATCTCTTTTCTGTCGCAACCCGAGCCAGAACAGCGTCTGAAAGGGAAAAAAAAAAAAAAATCACATGCTTGTTTGAGAAAATTTAATATGGCAAGATAATCCATATGGATGAATTAATAACGAATATTAGAGATCAATTCACGACATCTTACCTCTATTGACCATCTCCCCTGTTTGCTTCTCATTCGCAGGTTCTGACACCTCTGGCAAAACCCATAATTTCAAACAGTTTCAGAAAAGCCAGATGATCACCCAATCCACAAATCTGTGCAGAGAGAGAAAGAGGTCTTACTTTCTATTATTGCAGGAGTCTTGGTTGATTCAGATTCAATTTGCTTGGTTTCTTCTCCACCCATGTCTTCTTTTTCTTCTATTTTTGGTAATTCTATATATTTATGTACATATCACCCAAAATTAGCAGGATGATCTGAGAGGATTTACTAGACTGATAGAGGAAGATGGCAGTGAGAGACAGGGAGAGATGGATGAAGAAGATGGCAGAGAGAGAGGGAGAGACAGAAGGAGAAACACAGAGAGAGAGAGAGAGAGAGAGAGAGGTATTACTTTTAATCATGGCAGGAGTCTTGGAGAGCTCTGGAGTTGATTCAGATTCAAGTTGCTTAGTTTCTTCTCCAACCATGTTTTCTTTTTCTTCTTCTTTTTTTCCGTAATTCTATAGATTTATGTACATATCACCCAAAATCAGCCAAACGATCTGAGAGGATTTAGTAGACTGATAAAGGAAGATGGCAGAGAAAGACAGAGAGATAGATGGAGAAGATAGAAAAGAGAGAGAAAGAAGTGAAGTTGGTAGGTATAGGTCAAAAAAGGAGTTGGAAGCTGCCAAAAAAAGGTTCAGAGGCTTATTCGGTCATAAAGAAACAGAACCTAAGAGCTTTCTCTCTCTTTTCCCCTTATTCTCTTGAAATTAATTCAATAGACACTACTTGGAAAAGGCACAATCCCTCAAATAAACCTTAAAAGGTGTTGTAACCTTAATTTTTCTTAAAATATTTTTCTTCAGAATTTATAACTTCTAAAATTTTTGAATTTAACAGCCGAATATAAAATGATTAAAAAGCTCAACATTAATAAAAATGAAAAATAAGATATTGCCATTGTGAGTGGAATAAGAACTTTCTCTTTTGGTGGTGAGTGAGATTGAGGACAATTAATAAATAATAATGCTGCCCAAATTAACAAATAGTACTCTTTTTTTATTTCTTAACAAATTTAACCCCCATATCCAGCTAATAGAGAGCCCATGAGCCCTAAATCAAGAAGTGCAAGCATTTACGGGGACTCTTTCAAATTAATTAAAAGAATCTGACATAATTGTAAGGAAAAAATAAAGAGTCTTTTCAATCATATAAGCTAAAGTAGCAAGGGAGTTGTGCTGACAGAGACTTTCGACCGCTTAGTAATTAGTAGTTGCTGTGCGCACAATTCAAACAGACCGGATTCAGATGGATTATGGAAGCATTGGAAATGGGTTAAGGCCTAATTGGTCCCACATCTTTTTGCTAATTAATTAGTGTGAGAAAGTTGGAACTTGGAGGAACTCTTTTATTTCAATTACTTGGAAAATTTACAGTCCATTATTTGTTAAATATTTTACTTCTCAAATACCGAATTTAAGATATTATAAATTATAATTTAATAAACATAACATAAATGAAAAATACTCTTATATTTACTTTTATATTTATAAAAGATAACTAATTTTAAATTTATAAAAACACATTTTTAAAAAGAAACAGTTACAGTATCATAAATAAATTAGTTTCAAATAGTAAAATAGATAAAAATATTTATAACAATCTAAAAAAAATTACATTTTTATATGTCAATCACAGTTAAAAATTAATTTCAAATAATAAAATAGATAAAAATATTTATAACAATCTAAAAAGAATTACACTTTTATATGTCAATCACCAGTTGGTCGGTCTAGTGGCACCTCTTTTAATTGTAAGCATCAATTATTGGATTTCTCATATTTTCAACATTTTGCATTCTTTGTATTAAAAAAATTCGTATATAAAATAACATGTAATAAATTACGAAGAAATGGACAATTTTCACAGTTCATTAAAGGAGTGCAATAAAAAGGATACACTCCACCGCAGAAGAAGACAGTTGCTGCCGTTGTATTAGTTATCCAAAGGTTGGAGTTTAGCAAATGTATTTCGTGTTTTGGGCTTGTTTAGTTGACCCAGAAAAATGTTACATTTTTAAGCCTTTTTTATTATCTTTATTTAATATTCCAATGGAGTGTGTTACAAAAGGATAGAAATCAATAAAAATATTTTAATTTTATTTATAATTATTACTTTTAAATATAAAATTTTTGGGGTATTAAATCTAAAAATTTACTTTAAAAAAACAAATAAAATATTAAAATAACTGAAAACTTTTTCTTATACGTAAAAATAATTAGAAATGAAAAAAACACCTAGCGTGAAGTGCTTTGTTTCACTTCCTGTCAACTTTGTGGAAAGATATAAGCGAGCTGCTACTTGGCCAAGGTAGTGATATACACGCACTACAAGAAATGATAGTTTTAGTGATAAATTATTTGTGTTAAATACAAATATCATCACAGTTAATGGTATATTAGTGACCAAAAACTTTTGTATCACTATTGTTACATTTTTTTGTGACAATATATTATTTTGTCACAATACATATATCAATTGTAATGAAGTTCACTGTGCCACTAATTAGTTGTCACTAATACATTCGTTTTAATGATGAATGGAATTGTTTCACTAATAATGCGTCATAAAAACTAACTTTTGTAGACATTACTCTTATTAGTGACAAATAATTAAGTTTATCACTAAAATCTAGTCACAATAGTGATAATTATAATAATTGTCATAATTTTGTTAATATTAGTGGCAACACTTTCGACACTAAAATTTTAAACATTAGTGTCTAATGAATTTGGTCACAATAGTGCATAACATAAATGACTAAAAAATTTGCCACTTTTATACCGTATAAGTAAATTATTAACATCAATTAAACATGTACTTGGCCAAATAAATAGTCACTTTTTGTTGCCAAATGAATTATTAGTATCAAAATAAATATGTAATTAATACTTTTATAATTCTTATGAAAGAAAAAGCTGTTTATTTAAATATTTATTTATAACAAACTTTATTATTGTTACACTTTTAAATAATAATTTAAGGTTAAAAAATTCTATTGTAGTGTTCCAATTGTCAACTAAAGAAATACTATTACTTGAATTATTTAAAGGCTAGTTTCTTTAAAAAAGAGCCATTTAAAATGAATATAATTTAATTTAATTTACCAAATTAAAATTTATAGAAAGAATTACAATTATTGTATACTTATATATGCATATATTGGTTAAAGTTGAGGCAAAGTTCATTGTATTGATTAAAACAACTTTAATTATATATGGTTTGACATAATACTATAATTCCTAAGAGAGACAAAGTATATTTTTAAGATATTATCAAATTATTGGTTACAAAAAAAATTAAATTATGCAATAATGCATAAGGTTTGATATATTTATAAAAAATGAATTTTTATTTTATATAAAAAATTGGATAAATATTTGATTATAGAAGCAGCGTAAAGAAAAGTAGATTTTTTAAAAAACGAATTAAAAATAGATATAAATAACAATAAAAATCATATTTGAAGAAAATAAGAAGAACAACTAATAGAGAAGCAAACCTTTTAACCATACATAATTTCCTATTTTCAAGCAAATTAATGCAATAAGGTATATCTCTAATGGCTTTTTTCAAAGCCATAATAAAATATTAATTTTACTAAAAAAATTCAACATTTGTGACTAAATGCCACCATAACGTACTGCAAATATTTGACAATCACAAATTACATGTGAAAAAATTAAAACTTTGAGCAATCCATCGCAAGGCCTGCAAAATAAATAAATAAATAAATAAACTATCGAAGCAAATCCTAATTTAGTGTTGATATTCTTTATATAACTAATTGAAAGATATTAATTGATAAATAAATGTAAAAAGTGTAAATAGTTATATAAAAAATACAGTATTTACCAATCATTTATTAATCAATCGGCATCTATGCCATCTTCATCTGATGTACCAATCTCCTCCTCATCAATTAAATAAATATTCTCATCTTCATTATCCTCTTCTTCATCATTAGCAAGTATATGATCAGGTTTCACTGGACTTCTCTCCACAATAAAAGTAACAAATTCAGATCTATTCAATGATATTTCATCATCATCCTCTAATGCATTAGATGTAACAGTAAAACCAATTTCATCATTTTCTTGGCATGGCATATCTCCAACTTCTTCATCAAAAGGCAAATCATACAAGTCACGAGGCTTTGTCTTTACCACAACTTGCCAATTAGGATCTTTAGTGTCCTTAACATAATATACTTATTCAACCTGAGTGGCTAATACATATGACTCATTAGTTTTCAATTTACCATTAATATTAATCAGAGTAAACCCATACTTGTTTTCTTTAATCCCTTTTCCTTTGTGATCCACATCCCACCAATCACATTCAAAAAGAATGACACTATTTCCACTAGGGTAATCTAATTGAATAATGTCTGTTAAGACACCAAAGTATTCTTTATTACCTGTATTCTCATCTCCTCTAACAAAAACTCCACTGTTTTGTGATTTTAATTGCTTGTCATGCTCATTTGTGTTAAACCTCCAACCATTTAGAAGGTAACTTGCATATCGATAAACATGCCTATCAAGACCGTGAGCTAAGTTCAATAATGATTTACTGATGGACTCATCTCTTCCTTCTCGTAACATAACCTATTAGGAAAAACAAATGCATTAGTTGTTACAAAAAAAAATGCATTAGCACATAAATTGAAAAAGATTAAAGGATACTAGAGTTTATTGTTTAACTTACATGCTCTCTAAACCATTGATAAAATTCCTTTTCATGCTGCTTTTCTGCATTATAAGGGCTTTCTCTCCTTAATTCTTCCTTATGCATACTTTCATTTAAACATGAACGACAATAAATAAATAAAAATTAGTTGTTATAACAATAATTTAATTTAATATTACTAATAATTAATCATTAAAATTCTTACTTACTCAATAAATCTTTGTACTTCATCACAATTTTTAAGCACATACATTCTTGCTCGCTCCCACTCAGTCAAATTTAGTTCTATATACTTCTTTCCATGTAA